AGACTTCAAACCTAACCAGTTGGGTGAGAAGTGGTGGTTGAACTGAAGACGTTTCCCAACAGATAATTATTTTAAGAGTCTGAAATAGCAACCACCTTCCTCTGTTCCCTGGCTGCCCCCTGCCCCATTCCCACATACTTACGTACTTGTGGGAGGCCACCTCTAATATGGGGTATGGTGAAGACAGAATCTAGGGTTTGAAAAGGTCCTGAGAGAGCATCTCATACAACCCCCTTATTTTATCAAAGGGAAACTGAGGCTCAGAAAAGGGTCATGACTTGCTTGAGGCTGAGTGGGACCGGAGCTCCCCCCAGGCCTCCTGACTTCTGGCACCAATCCCAAATTGTCTTTGCATTCCCATACTCACCCCCCGCCCCTGCACGAAGGGGAAGGGTTTCCCACAGTGCTGAGGCCCCACTGTGAACCCTCCCTTTTGGACCTGAGGCGTAACTGGCTGTGCCAACTGCACGCCTTGAGAGCTCCCCTCTGGCCCGTAGCCTGGAGGAAGCAAGGCAGCCAACTCTGTCCTCTCCAGAGCTGTGGCCAGATGTGGGGCACAGGGGAGCCGGAGGTACCTCAATGAGCACCTCATGCCACCAACAGCTGCAGAGACAGGGAGGGACTTGCACAAAGTCACACAGCGAACCCGAGCTGAAGCACAGACTAGAAACCCTGGCCTCCTAACTCCCAGTCTAGGCTCCTTCCTGTTGTCTGAGCCCCTCAAAAGGGCTGATTCTGACTTCTGGCAGGTGTGTGACAGAAAAAGTCCTTAAGAATTTGTTTCCCTCTCCCCAGGGCCTTGCTCCAAAGACCTCAAGGCCACAGGATCCTACAGACCTAAGGGTCAGGGGCAGACACAACTGTGATTATTCGCAGCTTCCTTCCCTGGCCTTCCAGGGAGCTTTGGCGTCTGTCTCCCGTTTGGTTGGGCTGCTCAGGTAACGGTGTGGGGCAGAGGCGAGGTGGAGAAGCTGTGAGGTTGTGCTGAGTTACACTGGGGTAAAAGGGGGACAGACCCAGCGAGGAAGAAAGGCAAGGAGGAGGACAGGTGTGCTAGGTTCTGTTCTTCCGACAGAATGGGGGGGGCTCCTGTCCAGGGAAGGGTGCGGCTGTGGGCAGAGGGCCATGCCAAGAGTGACTTGGAGGCAGCTCATCTTCATCTGGATCACACATTTATCCACTGAACACATATGCATTGATCACCTGCTGAGGACCAAGCCCTGTGTGAGGCACAGGGCCTCAGCAACAAACAGCACAGACACCATCCCTGTGCCCACGAGCTTACATACCAGTGGGGACGGCAACCGTTAAATAAATGTACAACGTGTGGAGTAATGAGCTGTGCTAAGTGCTCTGAATAGCCCAGAGCAAGGGCTCAGCTAGAGAGCAGGGGGCACACGGGGAGGGGGCAGAGAGAGCACCCTAGGAAGAGGAGCCAGCGTGTGAGAAAGGGAAGAGCACCCCAGGAGGCGGGAATAGCCGCACAGAGGTCCTGAGATGGAGAAGGTGGGCTCAGAGAGCTGGCGGGCCACAGGGGAAGGCCCGAGATGAGACAAGGGGACTGGGCCAGCTCCTGCAGGTTCAGGGTAAAAAGTTTGATTTTATGGGAAGTGTAGCTGGAGACCACTGGAAGGTCTAAACAAGGGAGAGGTGTGACATGATTGACATTTTAGGAAGGTCACCTTGCTGTTGTACAGAGAGTGAACTGGAGGAGACAGGCTGTAGGCAGGAGACCAGTCAGAGAGCTCCCACAGTCAGTCGTCCAGGTGACAAATGGTGGTGTCCTAAGCCAGGGTGATGGCTTGGGAGATGGAAGAGGAAGGCTGAAGTTGTCATCTGGGTGGGAGGCAGGAGTCAGGGCTTGCCAAAAAAATTGTAATATGTAGGGAGAGGGGAGGGTGGGGTCAAGGATGAGTCCCAGTTTACTGACCTAAAAGCCTGCAGAGACGTGGTACCATTTACCCCGGTCCCTCTGGAAGGCAAGAATAACCTCCCTGGGTGCTCGAAGGAAGCCTGGTGAGGGAGGGGAGATGAGGGCAGGGATAAGGGGGAACAAAGTGGGGTTCACAACTGCAGGTTAGGAGCTGGAGGGCAAGGGGCCCGAGACAAATGTGTCCTCACTGCAGCCAGTGCCAGAGGGGCAGGCCCTTCAAAGCATAACAGAACCTCGGTGCTGCGGGAAACTAGAGGCGCAAGGCCCCACCCCAGGACTACCCTGCCACTTCACACACGCGGGCTGAAGCCCAGGGCCAGGGCAGACCTCCCTGGCTGCTGAAACCCTTCCTTTTGCACAGTCCGGGCCTTTCTTTAAGTGGCCACAGAAGTACGATTCTACCCTCGTCAACGTTCCCAGTGCCTCTCGTTAGTGCCCCTTGTTGGGTGACAGCCCGCCTTCCGCGCCCCNAAAGCCCCGCACGCCACTGCGCCCTCCTTTCCTTTCCCCCAGGGCACACCCTGCCACCCTTTTTGCTCGACACTGTTCAACAATCAATGGAAGATCCGCGAAGCCAGAGTGAACAGCCACCTCCCGCAACGGGATCCGGCCGCAATTGCTTTCATCTCTTTTTAGCGCCGGTGGCTGCTGCCCGTGTCCGAGTCCCCGGCCCGGGTTGGGTGCGGCGGCCTTGCTCCGACCCCGTACCGCCGACAGACACGCAGGAAGCCCGTACGAATCGGCGACGCACCCGCGCGCCGCGGCCCCTGGGCTC